GGCTTGAACTCTGGGCCTGGGCGCTGTCCCTCAGCTCTTCAACTCAAGGTGAGCGCTCTACCACTTGAGCCACAGTGCCACTTCTGGTTTTCTGGTGGTTTACTGGAGATAGGAGTCTCACAGACTTTCCTACCTGGGCTGGCTTTGAATCTAGATCCTTAGGGCTGGGAAGGTGGCTCAGTGGTAGAGCACTTGCCTTGCATGCCTGAGGCCCTGGGTTCGATTACTCAGCACCAGATAAGCAAAAAGGAAAAAGCCAGAAGTGGTGCTGTGGTAGAGCGCTAGCCTTGAGCTGAAGAGCTGAGGGACAGGGCCCAGGCCTAGAGTTCAGGCCCCACGACTGGACCCAAAAAAAGAAAAAAAAAAAATGAATCTAGATCCTTAGATCTCAGACTCCTGAGTAGCTAGGATTATAGACGTGAGCCACCGGCGCCCAGCCAGAATTTCTTGATTGTTTCTGAAGCTTAAGCTGCTCTACCCTCTCTTCTATAACCCAAAGGACAGGATACCCTGAGTTTGTGCCTCTTTGAGATCACACAGCTTGAAAGGCTCATAAATTCAGTCTATTTCACCCTTAAGGCACCTGAAAACCACACCAAAGAACATGGCGTGCCATCCCACTGTCTCTCCAGCCTGCCGCCCCTTCCCCGTGGCGTCTCAGAGCTCAGTACTGGTCCAGTGTGGGAGGGTGTTGCTATTGTTCCTGTTGGGATCCTACAGATACTCATTCTCTGTCTCTCTGTCTCCCCTCCCCCCCTTCCTCCCTTCTCTCCCCCCTTCTTTCTCCACTCTCTCCCTCCCTCCTAGAATTAGGGATCTTTTCCTGCCCAAAGAGAACCAAAGGAAGAGATTCTCAAAAACCAACTTTGCACTGACATCATTATAGACCTCAAATCCCAGAGTCAGGTTGGGTAATCAACGGGGGTTCTTGAGGTTCTTGATCTTGACAGCAAAATCCAAGGCCAGAACAGACCCGTAATTCTCGAAGCTGAGCTTGCATAGAAGACATTGGGAGTTTTACAGGTTAGAATTCAGACATGATTATATTCAAACCTAGTACAGTGAATTCAGGGGCAGTGGACTGAATGCTTATTTCTCCATAAGATTAATAGGTTCAAGCCCCGGGACTGGTGTGTATGTGTGTGTGTGTGTGTGTGTGTGCATGCACATGAGCACAGGTGTGTGCTCACACATACTAGATACACAGATTAATCAATCGATAGATTGATTGATTCTAAGCTGGGGAGCTGGTGGCTCACATCTGTAATCCTAGTTACTCAGGAGGCTGAGATGTGAGGATCATGGTTCAAAGCCAGCTGGGCAGGAGAGTCCGTGAGACTCTCATTCCAATAAATTACTCAGTCAGAAGTGGCTCAAGTGGTAGAGCACTAGCCTTGAGCACAGAGAGACTCAGGGACAGAGCCCAGACCGAGTTCAAGCACAGGATCAAAAAAAAAAAAATTCTAGTCTGGAATAATATGAGTATAAATAAGGTATATGAATAAACAATATGGTACACTTCAATATTTATATTGGTTTCACATTGTAAAAGCTTTTATATCAACTTTTTATTGTTGCTATAAAGGTGGGATTCAGAAGGGTTCCAGTTACATAAATCAAGTAGAGAGGACATTTCTTTTTGGACAATGTCGTCATTTTCAACCTCTGCTTTGAGCTCACCCTTTGCCCCTCCCTTTCTCCCGCCCCTCCCAAAGCCAGAGGAATGAAGAATCAATACCAAACAACAACAACATGGAAGAAGCCTGTTTCTATTTCCTGGAGTTCATTTCTCGAAATACTCTCGCCAATGAAAGAACACTCAGGCGTTGTGCCCGAGTGTGAGAGCTTTTGCTTTTTCTTTTTGCCCAGCGGGCCGGCCCCGCCCCCGTGGCAGGGTGCCCATCCACGTGGCCCTCAGCCCCAGCGGCATGGGGCGTGGTCTGGGTTTCAGGAGGAGTGGGGCTTGTGGAAACCAGTCTTGCAGAAGCTTCTTCCAGCTGTTCTGATCTAAGGCCTCACCTCCTGACCTCCTGTGAGGCACCAAGTCTCCTGCTTGTGATCGCAGCGATACTGCGTGCCTCCCTATGTCTAGAGGAGGAGGAGGGAGAGGTGGAGAGCCTTGTGTCTGGGGGGAATTGGTCTACAGTGGATTCTGAGTGTTGGAGGGCCTGAGCACTAGTGTATGCTAACAGAACCCTGAGCTGGTGGCTGGGTACTCAGGGGACATTTCCTTTTTTTTTGGTCGGTCGTGGGGCTTGAACTCTGGGCCTGGGCGCTGTCCCAGTGCTCTTCAGCTCAAGGTGAGCACTCTACTGCTTGAGCCACAGCGCCACTTCTGGTTTTCTGATGGTTTACTGGAGACAAGAGTCTCATGGACTTCGCTGCCCAGGCTGGTTGAACCTCGATCCTTGGATCTCAGCCTCCTGAGTAGCTAGGATGACGGGTGTGAGCCACCGGCGCCCGGCTTCAGGGAACCTTTCTTGAGACACTGCCGGAATGCTGGGGTGGAGCTTGTCCTGGGGTTCGGCTGGCTGTTGCCTTGGAGCCAGCATCTCCAGAAGAGACACTGAGCCCCTGGAGGGTCGCTGGGCCCCCACAGGGACATGGATGCGCTCAGAGCTAGGCATGGAGTTCCTAGCTACGTTAAAGCCAGAAACCAGACTCTCAGAGTATGTTAGACTTTGCCGGAAAACCACGCAGACATCCAGGTACAGAGAACAAAGAAAAGGTTAACTGCCAGGAGAGGGGCTGCCAAGACCTTCCCACAAGGGACAAGTGATAAGTAATGCCGGCCATTGTCTGAGGTGACCTATGTGCCCTAGGAGGTTTAGAAGGGGCTGGGACCCCGGTGTGGATGGGAGGACCAGAGGCTTCATCATGGTGGACTAGGATGTAATGGCTGCTGCCCAAGTAGTAGATAAGGGCCCTGCAGCTGCCCACTCTAAGGGGCTCTGGCTGCCTTCCACGGTGCAGCTGCCCCAGAGCAGTGCCCTCCCAAGGGCTGGAGGCTGATTCTTCACTGCCTTTGCTACATGGGCCTCGTGCTGCCTAGGAAGGGAGCGTGCCAAGCTGTGGAGAGGGGACGGAGCGTGCTATGCTATGGGAAGGGAGCTCACTGGGCTGACACAGACAGTGGCAGGTCTTGAATCAGTTCGAGTCTGGCGGTCCACTGTAAATCAAAGTGTAGCTTAAATGAATGACACCTAGGCTAAATAGCAGAGGTTCGGTGGGGTGATGGCCAGAGCTGCTGGGTTAGCCCTGGCCCACGAGGCCTGATTCAGAGACTGGTCATAACCGTCCTCACCAAGCAAGTAACCTTCAGTTACCAAAACAATGGCTGACCAGACATGTCAGCTGACTGCGACCAGATTTGAACAACAACAACAGGTCCATAGAAGAGAGGGGAAAATGCAAGAATTCAGAGCTTTTCTGTCAAATGGTTGCTCGACAGGAGCAACCTGCACTGTCGGCCTGTTCTTTCATCAGCCTCATGAAATCCTGCGAAAACCAAGTTACTTCAGTTCAACCCCAGCCCTTATGAACAACGGGTTGTTTTTCCAACTAGTTTCTGCTTTGGTCCCGGTGTTGGGGAATGAGCCTGACCCCATTCCGAACTAGCTAGTCACATAAGGCTGTGGGCCTGCTTCCCCCATGGGATCAGGCAGGGCCTGCCGGCCTGGCACGCTTCCTAGTGTGACTGTCAGCCGCACTTCCGTGCGTCCACATGAACACCGGGAAGTGGAAACTTGTTTTTGTGGCCCAGGAAACGAGTGCGGGTGAGCAAATGGACATGACATTAAAAAAAAGAGCTCTTGGGGCTGGGAAGGTGGCTCAGTGGTAGAGCACTTGCCTTGCATGCCTGAGGCCCTGGGTTCGATTCCTCAGCACCACATAAACAAAAAGAAAAAAGCCGGAAATGGCACTGTGGCTCAAGTGGTAGAGCGCTAGCCTTGAGCTGAAGAGCTGAGGGACAGCGCCCAGGCCCAGAGTTCAGGCCCACGACCGGACCAAAATAAAACAAAACAAAACAAAAAACAAAAATGAGCTCTTAACTGGAGGTTGGGCTCAGAAGGGGAAAATGAGGATGTGGTGGTATTTATTGCCCAAGAAGCACGGTACCCATAACCTGACAATAGCCACCCTTTGGCACAACTATTTAATAATAACAACAATAACGCCTGGTTTTCGGGGCGCCTGTAATCTTAGATACTCAGGAGGTTATATCTGAGAGCCATGGTTCGAAGCCAGCCCAGACAGGTCACTCTATTCTCCAAAAACTACCAAAAGAAACGCCAAACAGCTGGCATGGGAACTGTGGCTCTAGTGGTAGAGCGTTAGCTTTGAGCCCAGAAGCTCAGGGCAGCGCCCAGGCGAGGTTCAAGCCCCAGGAAGACCAGCACATAAATGCCACATAAAATAGCATTTGCCCTGGCAACCCCAGCGGGGCCCGAGGCCCGCCCCGCCCCGCGGAGGCCCCCGCCCCGCGGAGGCCCCGCCCCGCGGAGGCCCCGCCCCGCGGAGGCCCCGCCCCGCGGAGGCCCCGCCCCGCGGAGGCCCCGCCCCGCGGAGGCCCCGCCCCGCGGAGGCCCCGCCCCGCGGAGGCCCCGCCCCGCGGAGGCCCCGCCCCGCGGAGGCCCCGCCCCGCGGAGGCCCCGCCCCGCGGAGGCCCCGCCCCGCGGAGGCCCCGCCCCGCGGAGGCCCCGCCCCGCGGAGGCCCCGCCCCGCGGAGGCCCCGCCCCGCGGAGGCCTAGCGGGCCGCACGAGTCCCGCCCCCACGTCAATCAAGCGCCGCGTCTTCCGGGAGGCATTGCTCGCCTCTTCCGGTTCGGGCTGTCATGGCGGCGCCCAGCACGTTCGGTCGGCCTTCCTAGCCTTTTTCGGCCCTAGGCTGGCGTGGCACTGCGGACAAGCCCACCTGAGCTTCTCAGACCCGCTCGGGTCACGGCTGCGTCCTGCCCCTTCTTCCGGCACAGTCCGCCATGGAGGTGCCCTGAATAAGCACTTCCGGGCCGGGCTCCGTCGCAGAAGCGCCTCCCCGTTTCCGGCCCTCGCATGGCGGCGCTCCGGACTCACCGGAAGTAGCCCGGCGGAAGTGGGCGGTGCCTTTGCCCGGAAGCGAGCGCGCCGCTGGGGGAAGATGGCGGCTGTGGGCAACGCGGTGCCTGCCGGGGCCCGGCCTCACGGGTCCGCGCCCGGCGGGCCGCCCAGGCCCGGGCCGCAGCCGCGCGCGCTCCTCGCCGCCGGGCCGGCGCTCGTAGCGAGCGGCGACGAGCTGGTGGCCGCCGTGTGGCCGTACCGGCGGCTGGCGCTGCCGCGGCGCCTCACGGTGCTGCCGTTCGCGGGGCTGCTGTACCCGGCCTGGCTGGGCGCCGCGGCCGCCGGCTGCTGGGGCTGGGGCAGCAGCTGGACGCAGGTCCCCGAGGCCGCGCTGCTGGCGCTCGCCACGGTCTGCCTGGCGCACGCGCTCACCGTCCTCTCGGGGCATTGGTCCGTGCACGCGCACTGCGCGCTCACCTGCACCCCGGTAAGCGCGCGCGCGCGGGCGGGCGCCGCCTCCCCTCCCGACCCGCCCCCCTCTCCCTCTCCCCCTCCCCCCGCCAGCCCTCCCCCCCGCCCCCCTCCCCCGCCCCCCGCCTCCCCTCCCCCGCCCCCCGCCTCCCCTCCCCCTCCCCCCGCCTCCCCTCCCCGCCAGTCCTCCCCCCCCGCCTCCCCTCCCCGCCAGTCCTCCCCCCCGCCTCCCCCCTCCCCCCGCCTCCCCTCCCCTCCCTGCCAGCCCTCCCTGCCGCCGCCCCGCCCCGCCTCCCCTCTCCCTCCCGCCTCCCCCCTCCCTCCCCGCCCGCCCCGCCCCCTCCCCTCCTGGGCCGGTGGGGCCTGGCGTCCTGGGGCGCCCTCGCTGCCCTGGCTGGGGCCCGGGCGACCCTCGCTGCTGGGTGCGACACGTGATCGAATGAATGCCAGCTCCGGGGCTGGGCCTGGGGTGGCTCCTTCCGTTTTCAAAGAGGCCAGACCGGGGGTGGGGTGTGAAGGGGGGGCTGGATCCTCACACACACCCCCACCCTCCCTCCATCCCCGGCCCGACCCCAGGAGCGGGAATTGTAGTTCTCCCTAGTGCTTACCTTGAGCGGGAGCTGTTTGTAAGTGACTGCCATGGCTTGTCACCGTGTGGTGACAAGGTGATAAGAATGAATGAGTCAGGGTGCCAAGGGTGCCCGGGGTGTGGGCGTGACCCCTGGGCCAGAGCTGCACCCGCTCTGGACTTGGCCTCCAAAGACACCCAAGTTTGGAGCTCTGTACACTGACACGTACCCCATCCTTCCCCACCCCCCGGCCCCAAAGTGAGCAACAGAGGCCCAGGGCCGGTGGCTCATGCCTGTAACCGAGTTTCTCGGGAGGCTGAGAGCTGAGAAGTGAGGTCCCGTCAGCCCAGGAAGGAAGGTTGATGTTATTTCTAACTTACCAGCAAAAAGAAAAAAAACTTACCAACTCAAGTGGTTGAGTGCTGGCCTTGAGCACAAAGCCAATGGAAGTGTCCAGGCTCTTGAGTTCAAACCTCAATACTGGCTCACATGCACACGCACACACACACGCAAATGAGGGAGGGCAGCGGGAAGTTGATTTACCCCCCTCCCCCAGTTCTGCATCAAGTCCTGGTTCAATGTGTGTGTGGACCCCGACCTCCCCAGTACGACTGGGCCCAGGAGAAGGGCCCAGGTGTGTGGGCTTGGTGGCTTTCTTGGTACAGTGAAAGGCCTCCACAAGCGACAGGTGCAGGAAGGGTTGTTGGGTGAGTCACGCGTGGACTTCCCTGGTGCCCCAGCGCATCGCCGAGCCCCATCTAGGCTTGCCTTCCATCCGTCCCGGGCCGCGTTTTTCTTTCTCTTCCCTGGGTTTCGTTTTCCCCTGGTGTAAAGTGAAACCGTAACACCGATCCCAGTGAAACCGTAACACCGATCCCGGGTGCCAGGGTGGGAGGCGGGCGGCAGCTGCCCGCGCCTGCCCGTGTCACACCTTTGTGCTCTCGGGCTTCACGAGAACTGAGGGCTGTGTGCTTGTTTGTTGTGGCTTCCTGTGCCTCGGTGGCATGGGACACCCCTCGGAGTGGCGCTTTGCCGGGGCCCCCAGGGGCTCCCAGTCGAGGGTCAGCGCAACGGCGCTGGGGCAGCGTCCCGCGCTGGCGTTTGTGGGAGAAGGCTGTCAAGCCCAGCGGTTGAGGCCGGAGAGGGAGGATGTGGACACAGCAGACACTGTCATCCAGGGACTTCCCAGGGGGCAGCCGGGGAGGGGTCCCGGGAAGGTGACATGTCAGCAAAGGCCTGAAGGCATCGAGCTGGTGAGAGCAGCGCTGAGTAGCGGGGACCGCGGAGACGCGGGGAGGAGGCGGAGCTTTGCCCGTGGGCTCCCACAGGCCTGGCCGGTGGGCCCCGAGGATGGGCAAGGAGTCTGGCGTGTTTCTTTCCCTTTGAGCTCACGCGCAGAGCCCTGGCCACGGTGCCTTCGGCCCATCGGCTTCGTGACAGGGAAGCAGAGGCTCAGCAGCCCGGGCTCCTTTGTCGCAGTGGCAGCTGGGGAAGGCCAGGCGCGCCCCGCAGCCCGGCGGCATATCTGGAAGGCGCCATGGAGCCCCACACCCAGCCGCCCTCCCCTGTGGGCCGAGAGGGGCTCAGTGGCTGTGTGTTGCCTCTGGCAGGAGTACGACCCCAGCAAAGCGACCTTCGTGAAGGTCGTCCCGACCCCCAACAACGGCTCCACGGAGCTGGTGGCCCTGCACAGGGACCAGGTAAGACGGCCTGCCGGGCTCACGGGCCGGGCTCCCCCCGATTCCCAGGCCCCGGCGCCCAGGCGCAGGCCGCTGCCACCCAGACGCCTCTGCCGCAGGGAGAAGACGGGCTGGAGGTGCTGTCCTTCGAGTTCCAGAAGATCAAGTATTCCTACGACGCTCTGGAGAGGAAGCAGTTCCTCCCGGTGGCCTTCCCCGTGGGCAACGCCTTCTCCTACTATCAGAACAACCGCGGCTTCCAGGAAGAAGCCGAGATCCGAGCAGCCGAGAAGAAATTTGGGGGCAACAAGTGAGCCCCGGCCCCGGGAGGTGCCCCGCTCAGCGCAGGCGCGGCCCTGCGTGAGACGCTGCCTTCCGCTCAGCGTGCCTCCTAGCAGGAGTCGCCACAAGGTGGCGCTGTGCGCGTGGCTTTGCACGGGAGCCGGCCCGCGGCCTGCCCCGGGGACAAAGCAGGCTCTTCGGCCTCCTTCCTGACTCAGTTGCCTGTCAGGAAGTGAGGGACCTGCTGACTGCAGCTGTCCTCATGCGGGGGTGCGTGGCGGGCCACGCCCCCCCCGGGCAGGCCTTGTTGAGGGCCAGGAGACGTGAGCTTTCTCATGGTCCTCCCAGGCACCCTCCATCACGGTCACCCCCATGGGGGGGACCCTTGGTGGCCAGGCAGGGCGAGGGGGCCCGGTTGGTACTGGTTGGCGGTTCCTTCAGACTGCACCCCCCGTGTGCCGCAGAGGACCCCTGCGGCCAGGCTCTGGGTTCTGGGGCTTCTATTCAGAGTGTGTGCAGGGACGCCTGCTGTGGGGGCGGGGCTCGGGGCGCAGTTCAGGGCCCCTCACTCAGTTCCTCCTTGCTGGGCAGTGGCTGGGGGACTGGACTGTGAGAAGCCAAGGCCCGCAGGGGCGGCGTGGGGCAGCCCGGGGCCCGCACCCAGCCGGCCCGGGACAGCACACGCTGTGTTGCAGGGCGGAGATGGTGGTGCCGGACTTCTCAGAGCTCTTCAAGGAGAGAGCCACAGCCCCCTTCTTCGTGTTTCAGGTAAGGCCGCGGCGCGGGCCGATCCCCTGACCCTGCCTCGCCCATCCCCCGTGTGAGGTGAGCCTGGCGTGGTGCTGGCGTCCCCCGGGGGCGGGCGCTGTGGGGCAGCCACGCGCGGCGGGCACACGCTCCACGCATCCACAGGTGTTCTGCGTGGGGCTCTGGTGTCCTGGACGAGTACTGGTACTACAGCGTCTTCACGCTGTCCATGCTGGTGGCCTTCGAGGCATCGCTGGTGCAGCAGCAGATGCGCAACATGTCGGAGATCCGCAAGATGGGCAACAAGCCGCACATGATCCAGGTGCGTGCGGGGCACTGCTGGCCGCGTGCCTGGGCGCAGCCCCCCCGCCCCTGCTGACCCCCCGGCCTGCCCCCACGCCAGGTCTACCGCAGCCGCAAGTGGAGGCCCATCGCCAGTGACGAGATCGTGCCCGGGGACATCGTCTCCATCGGTGGGCCGCACCCTTCCCCCCTGCATGGCGCCCGTCCCGGCCCTGTGCCAACCCCCCATCCTCCGCAGGCCCGCTGCCTTGTTCTGCATGGCCCCCCCCTGCCCCCCGCTGGCCCCATCCCTCAGGTGGTGCCTGGCCCGGCCCGTTCCAACCCCCCCTCCGCTACCCCCCCCCCCACGTGGCGCCTGGCCTGTGCCAACCCCCCCTCCGCTGGGCCCCCCCCCCATGTGGTGCCCGGGCCTGTGCCAACTCCCCCCTCCGCTGCCCCCCCCCCCTGCATGGCGCCCGGCCTGTGCCAAACTCCCCTCCACTGGCCCCCCCCCTGCGTGGCGCCCGGCCTGTGCCAGCCCCCCCTCCGCTGGGCTCCCCCCTGCGTGGCGCCCGGCCTGTGCCAACCCCCCGCCCTCCGCAGGCCGCTCTCCGCAGGAGAACCTGGTGCCCTGCGACGTGCTCCTGCTGCGGGGCCGCTGCGTGGTGGATGAGGCCATGCTCACCGGGGAGTCCGTGCCGCAGATGAAGGTGAGGCGGAGGGGCCGTGGGGCGGGCCCAGGCTGCGCGCACCACCCCCGGGGGGGAGGGCCCGGGGCCTCACCTGCGTCTCCCACCCAGGAGCCCATCGAAGACCTGAGCCCCGCCCGCGTGCTGGACCTGCAAGCCGATGCGCGGCTCCACGTGATCTTCGGGGGCACCAAGGTGGTACAGCACATACCACCGCAGAGGGCCACCACGGGCCTGAAGCGTAGGTGCCTCTGGGGGCCTGTCCTCCCCCCCTCCCCTCCCCGGGGCTCTTCCCCACCCCGGGTGTGAGCAGGAAACATTGGGCCGAGCTCCCAATGACCACTGTTTGCCATTTGTCTCCCCAGCTGTGGACAGTGGGTGCGTGGCCTATGTCCTGCGGACTGGATTCAACACTTCCCAGGTGCGGGGTGTGGGGCAGGGCTGGGGGGGACACTGGTCTCAGAGCACAGGCCATCCCTGTGAACGGTGACCACAGAGGCCCCGGACCAGCCTCCTCTCCCGGCCGAGGTGCTGGGGCTCCGGGGCCGCGCTGCCCTGGGGGCGGCGGTGACGTGCTGCCCAACGCCGCCCGAGCCTGTCACTGCGCGGGCCGCAGGCGGTGCTGGGGCGGGAGACGGGGGTCCCGCGGCACCCCCAGGAAGGCTCCGTCCCGCAGGGTAAGCTGCTACGCACCATCCTCTTCGGGGTCAAGAGGGTGACGGCCAACAACCTGGAGACCTTCATCTTCATCCTCTTCCTCCTGGTCTTTGCCATCGCCGCCGCAGCCTACGTGTGGATTGAAGGCAAGCAAGCAGCCTGGTCCGCGGCCTGGCCCGCACCCCCCACCCACACCCCACGCCCCAGGCTGAGCGGCCTCTCCACAGGCACCAAGGACCCGAGCCGAAACCGCTACAAGCTCTTCCTGGAGTGCACGCTGATCCTCACCTCCGTTGTGCCCCCCGAGCTGCCCATCGAGCTCTCGCTGGCCGTCAACACCTCGCTCATCGCCCTGGCCAAGCTCTGTGTGTGTCCTGGCGGGGGGCGGGGGGGGAGCCCGCGCTCAGAACCCCCCTGACTGGCCCTGCCCTGCCCTGCCCCGCCCCGCCCCCCCCTCCCCCGCAGACATGTACTGCACGGAGCCCTTCCGGATCCCGTTTGCGGGCAAGGTGGAGGTGTGCTGCTTCGACAAGACGGGGACGCTCACGAGCGACAGCCTGGTGGTGCGCGGCGTGGCCGGGCTCAGGTGAGTCCCCAGGCCGGGCGCGGGGCGCTGGAGGGGCAGGTGGCCCGGCCAGCGGGCGCCCCACATGAGCCGCCCGTAACTGCCCCCCCCCCGTCCCCCGGCAGAGATGGGAACATCCCCGTGGAGACACACCGGGCTCTGGCCTCCTGCCACTCGCTCATGCAGCTGGACGACGGCACCCTGGTGGGCGACCCCCTGGAGAAGGCCATGCTGACCGCTGTGGACTGGACGCTGACCAAAGGTGAGCAGGGGGCGCCATGCACGTGCCCCGCCGACGCCGGGGTCTCGGCGCTCTGGGGGGGGGGCCGGCATGGGGGGGAGGGGACGGCGCGGGGGAGGGGGGCCTGTGTGGGGGAAGGAGGGGGGGACCGCGCAGGGGAGGGGGGGCCTGTGTGGGGGGAGGAGGGGACGGTGTGTGGGAGGGGGGCCTGTGTGGAGGGAGGAGGGGACGGTGTGGGGGAGGGGGGCCTGTGTGGGGGTAGGAGGGGACGGTGTGGGAGGGGGGCCCTGTGTGGGGGGAGGAGGGGACGGTGTGTGGGAGGGGGGGCCTGTGTGGAGGGAGGAGGGGACGGTGTGTGGGAGGGGGGGCCTGTGTGGGGGGAGGAGGGGACGGCGCAGGGGAGGGGGGGCCTGTGTGGAGGGAGGAGGGGGACGGTGTGTGGGAGGGGGGCCTGTGTGGGGGGGAGGAGGGGACGGCGCAGGGGAGGGGGGCCTGTGTGGAGGGAGGAGGGGACGGTGTGTGGGAGGGGGGGGCCTATGTGGGGGGGAGGGGACGGTGTGTGGGGAGGGGGGCCTGTGTGGGGGGAGGAGGGGACGGTGTGGGGGAGGGGGGGGCCTGTGTGGGGGGAGGAGGGGACGGTGGGGGAGGGGCTACATGGGGGGAGGGGGGGCCTTTTTGTGGGGGAGGGGGGTGGAGGGGGGGGCCTTTGTGGGGGAGGGGGGGGGGGGGGCCTTGGGGGAGGTGTAGGGGGAGGAGGGGGAACGGCGCAGGGGAGGGGGGCCTGTGGGGGGGGGAAGAGGGGACGGTGTGGGGGAGCGGGGCCTGTGGGGGGGAGGAGGGGCCTTTGTGGGGGAGGGGGCCTGCATGGGGGGAGGGGGGCCTGTGTGGGGGAGGGGCGGCTGCGTGCAGAGCGAAGTCCCTCAGTTGTCGCGCTTGTCTGTTTCCAGATGAGAAAGTATTCCCCCGAAGTATTAAAACTCAGGGGCTGAAAATTCACCAGCGCTTTCATTTTGCCAGTGCCCTAAAGCGAATGTCCGTGCTCGCCTCCTATGAGAAGCTGGGCTCCACCGACCTCTGCTACATTGCAGCCGTGAAGGGGGCCCCCGAAACCCTGCACCCCATGGTGAGCCCGTCCCGCCGGCCCCGGGCGTGGGGGGGTGGGGTCAGGCCGCGGCTGACGTCCCCCCTCCCCTGCAGTTCTCCCAGTGCCCACCCGACTACCACGTCATACACACCGAGATCTCACGCGAAGGAGCCCGCGTCCTGGCGCTGGGCTACAAGGAGCTGGGACACCTCACCCACCAGCAGGTAAGGCCTGCCGGGCCCCCCTGCCCCGGCCTCCGGACCCCAGCATGGAGCCACGGGGCCCTGCGCCTCGCACACGAGACGGAGCGGGATCCCCGCGCACGCACACATACGCACGCACGCACCCTCGCGCAGAGCAGGGGCCCAGACGGGATGGTGAGCCCCTGTGTGTCCACAGGCCCGCGAGGTGAGGCGGGAGGCGCTGGAGTGCAACCTCAAGTTCGTGGGCTTCATCGTGGTCTCCTGCCCGCTCAAGGCCGACTCCAAGGCGGTGATCCGCGAGATCCAGAACGCGTCCCACCGGGTACGGCCCCGGCTGGCCAGGCCCAGAGCTGAGCCCGCCCGTGCCACCCCGCGCGGTGGGGAGAGACTCGCCCGTCTGTCCGCCTGGTGGCCAGTGTTCTAGTTAATCAGGAGCAGGGAATATTTAGGACATGGGGGAAGTGACTGGCTCTTACCAGAATCGACGGCACAGCACAGTCTCCTCCTTGGCTCCAGAATGTTCTGGGCACATCCTGAGGGGCTGGTGATACATCCCAAGCACGCTTAGCGTGTACGCGGTCCTGCGGGCTTGTGGGAAGGACCCTGGTCCACGCATCACCCGGCGGCTCCGCCCCTGCGCGTCCCCCACCTTGCCCAGCCGTGCCTCTGCCCCACAGGTGGTCATGATCACGGGCGACAACCCCCTCACCGCCTGCCACGTGGCCCAGGAGCTGCACTTCATCGAGAAGGCACACACGCTCATCCTGCAGCCGCCCGCCGACAAGGGTGAGGCCCGGCCGGCCTGTGCTGTGGCGGCTCTGAGGGCCGAGTCCCCCTCCCCAGGCCCAGGGACCCGAGGCCTGGTGCTCGGAGGGGCGCTGTGGCAGGACCCCCACCTGGCCATTGCTGTGCTCCCTACCCAGCGCCTGGGCGGGCCGCGGGGTGGGCAGCGCCTCGCTTCGGGCGGGAGTGGGATGGACACACAGACGCGAGGCTGCCGGGGCTGGGGTCAGGCTGGTGTGGGTGCAGGGCCCCCTCACCCCGGTGTGCCCCCCCCAGGCCGAGCGTGCGAGTGGCGCTCCATTGACGGCAGCATCGTGCTGCCCCTGCTGCCCGGCTCCCCGCGGGCGCTGGCCGCGGAGCACGCGCTGTGCCTCACGGGCGACGGCCTGGCGCACCTGCAGGCCGCAGACCCGCAGCAGCTGCTGCGCCTCATCCCCCACGTGCAGGTGTTCGCGCGCGTGGCGCCCAAGCAGAAGGTGCGTGCCGGGCCCGGGGCCGGGCTCCCGGGGCGACAGGCGCATGGCCCTCACGCACCCTTCTCCCCCCGCCGCCCAGGAGTTCGTCATCACCAGCCTGAAGGAGCTGGGCTTCGTGACCCTCATGTGCGGGGACGGCACCAACGACGTGGGCGCCCTCAAGCACGCCGACGTGGGTGAGCCCCGTGGGGGGCCGCTGAAGGGCCGGCGCGGGGCTGGTCCACACCTCCGCCAGGACCCGCTCTCCTGGGCCTCCCCCGGGGCGGGGGCGGGGGCATGCCGGCCATCTGCCGCTGGCTCATTTGCAGGGCTTGTTCTTCAGGAGTTGGTAGCAGGGCACGGGGAGATGGGGATCGGTGGGCAGCTCCCCTCACCCCGCCCCCGGCACCCCAGGTGTGGCACTCCTGGCCAACGCCCCAGAGCGGGCTGTAGAGCGGCGGCGGCGGCCCCGCGAGAGCCCCAGCCTGGGCAGCGGCAGGGCCGGCTCCAGGAGTGCAAAGACGCGGCCCGCACCCACAGAGGAGCCCGCGCCTGCCTCGCGGGGGGTGAGTGCTCGCGGGGGGGGGGGGGGGGTGAGTGCTCCCGGGGGGGGGGGGTGAGTGCTCGCGGGGGGGTGAGTGCTCGCGGGGGGGGGGGGGGGGTGAGTGCTCCCGGGGGGGGGTGAGTGCTCGCGGGGGTGAGTGCTCACGGGGGGGGGGGGGGGTGAGTCCTGGGGGGGTGTCAGGAGCATGGACGTGGGCCAACCCTGCCCTCCCCACAGGACCGCCTGAGCCAGGTGCTGCGGGACCTCGAGGAGGAGAGCACGCCCATCGTGAAGCTGGGGGACGCCAGCATCGCCGCCCCCTTCACCTCCAAACTTTCCTCCATCCAGTGCAGTGAGTGCCGCCCGCCCCTGCCCTGCTCCCTGCCCCCTGCACGCACCCATGTCCACCTCTGCCCAATCCCCCACAGTCTGCCACGTGATCAAGCAGGGCCGCTGCACGCTGGTGACCACACTGCAGATGTTCAAGATCCTGGCGCTCAACGCCCTGATCCTGGCCTACAGCCAGAGCGTGCTGTACCTGGAGGGCGTCAAGTTCAGCGACTTCCAGGCCACCCTGCAGGGGCTGCTGCTGGCCGGCTGCTTCCTCTTCATCTCCCGCTCTAAGGTCTGAGCGGGGACCCCGGGGCCCGGGCTGTGTCGGGTGGACGGGGGGCGGGGACTGGCCAGGCTCCACGCTTCTGGGCTGTGGTGGTACAGAATCAGCAGTGTGCCTGTGGCGCGGTCCCCGGGGGCTGCCCTGCCGCCGCTGTCTTCATCCGGGCACACATTGTGCCATTGAGCCCAAGGGGCTCCCTGCTGCAGCCCCTCGAGGGACCGCGGGGAGGGCAGAGCCCTGCGCGGGGGGTGGGTGCAGGCCCCACGCCTGCCCTGCCACCTGCCGGCTGTGGTCTGCAGTGGATGGGGAGCCCCAGGGTCACCCTGCCCTGACCTCCACCTGTGCCTGCAGCCCCTGAAAACCCTGTCCCGGGAGCGGCCCCTGCCCAACATCTTCAACCTGTACACCGTGCTCACGGTGCTGCTGCAGTTCCTCGTGCACTTCCTCAGCCTGGTCTACCTGTACCGCGAGGCCCAGGCGCGCAGCCCCGACAGGCAAGTGCCTTCTCCTGTGCCGGGCAGCCCCGCCCCCCCCCCCCCCCCCACAGCCCTGCCCACCACACGTGTCCCCGCAGACAGGAGAGGTTCGTAGACCTGTACAAGGAGTTCGAGCCCAGCCTGGTCAACAGCACCGTGTACATCATGGCCATGGCCATGCAAATGGCCACATTCGCCATCAACTACAAGGTGAGGGCCCGCCCCTGTCCCTGCCCCCCAGTCCGCCCGCTCGGTCCCCCTCAGGCAGCCGTGCACCCCTTGGGTCACAGGGCCCGCCCTTCATGGAGAGCCTGCCCGAGAACAAGCCTCTGGCGTGGAGCCTGGCTGTGTCGCTCGTGGCCATCGTGGGGCTGCTGCTCGGCTCCTCACCGGACTTCAACAGCCAGTTCGGCCTCGTGGACATCCCCGTGGAGGTGAGGGCCGGGTGGCGGGCAGCCCGCGCCCTGCGACCTGCCTCCCGCCGCCTCACTCGGTGCCCTTCCGCTGCAGTTCAAGCTGGTCATCGCGCAGGTCCTGGTCCTGGACTTCTGCCTGGCGCTGCTGGCCGACCGCGTGCTGCAGTTCTTCCTGGGAGCCCCGAAGCTGAAAGTGCCTTCCTAAGACCGCTGCCGCTGCCGCTGCCTGCGGCTGCCCCGGAGGAAACACTCACCCCACTCCCCACAGGGGGGCTGCTCGGCTGCCTCCTCGGAAGACGGAGCTGGCACCGCGGGCCTGCAGCCCCAGCCAGCACCTGTGGTGAATAAAGCAGTATCAGAGATTTTAAGGCACCCATCTTGTTTGTCTCTTGGGGTCCCCACACCAGGGGAGAGGACACACAGCAGGTTCCCCTGCGGCGGCCCGGACCCCTGGAGCTTCTAGTCGGTTCTCTATGTAGCTTGCACCCCGCATTTCCCCACTTTGTTTCCCAAGGTGAGGATCTGGGCCCGGGAGGCTCGGCATCGGTGCTGTCCCTTCCTGTGGTGTGGGAGCTGCCAGCACACCTTCCCCACTGGCTCCCAGGGTTCAGTGCCAGCCTCGGGGCAGGGGTGGCCCTGGCCAAGGCCTCTGCTGGCCCGTGGTCCAGGCGCCTGGTGCCGTGCAAGCGATGGCGGTCAGCCCTTAGGAGGACAGGACGGAATGGGGCAGTGGGGACATTGGTCAGATCCGGTTCACACCTGCCCCGGGCACAGCCCACCACCAGCCGGGCAGCCAGCAGCACGAGGACCAGGGCGCCGGGAGGAGGTGGGGCCCCAAGGGTCTGGGGCCAGCAGTGACCTGAGCCACCAGCTGGGCTCTGGGCCCCAGGGCCCTGGGGCTGAGATGAGCCCTGGAAGAGCTCGGGCCTGTGGTCCAGGTCTAAAGCAGCCTCCATCCGGGGTCTGGAGCAGCTCTGATGGTCATTGCGGGTGACGGCGGGTCAGGACCGGCCCCAGCCACTGGGGCTGTGAGGGATCAGCCAGCAGAGGTCGAGGTGGCTGTTCAGGACCTGCGGGCAGCCTGCGGGGCCAGCCCCAGGCGCTGGGCCTCCCCAGCCCCAGGCGCGCCGGCCGCACTCTCTCTTCCTGCTGGGGGCGTGGCCTCCCCGGCTCGCGCTTCTCGTCTGGGGGCGTGGTGGGGCGTGGCCTCCCGCAGGCACTCAGCTTTCTGGGCTGGGGCGTGTCGGGGGCGTGGCCTCCTCAGGCACTATCGCTTCCTGGCCGTGGTGGGCGTGGCGTCTCGGGGGCGTGGCCTGGGCGGGGCGGGGCGGCCTGGGACCGGGCGGGGACGGCGGCGGCGGAGGCGGCAGGAAGCCGGGGCTGGTCCCCGTGGGCGTGCGGCCTCCCCCGCGACCCGTCCGCCCAGAGACCCCCGAACCCAGCCATGGACGCGGCCGAGCCAGGTAGGGGGCCCGGGGGCCGGGGAGCCGGATGGCCCGCGGCGGCTGCCCCTCACTTCCTAGCCCGGGAAGCCCCGCCTGTCACTCCCCGGAGAGCCGGAGGGGACTCGGCGCCCCGAGGGGAAGGACGCGGGCCTCCATCGGCGTGGGGCCCCCCAGCCGGGGCCGCGCCGACACCCGCCCTCCCCGGGCGCCGGCGAGCCCGCGCCCCGGACGCCGGCCGGGCCCAGGAAGGGGAAGTGGCTGCTTCTGCTTCTGACGGGATGGGGGAGGGTGCCGCGGGGGAGCCGCGGGCGGGTCCCCGCAGGGCCTCCCGCCGCCCGCGGGGGGGGGGGGGGCGCCTCCCATCCGGGTCCCCGGCCGCAGTGCGTGTCCTGTGTCCGGGGCCTGCGCGCCCCGCCGCCCGCGGGTCCCCGGGGTCGCGGGCTGGCGGGCGGGTGCGTGTTCGTGTGCGCGTGTGGACGCCCGCGGCTCCGGCCCGCGTGTGCCACGTGTGCTCCCATCTGCCTGGCCCCCGGAGCTGTGGAGCTCCATTGTCCAGCCCCCCCTCCCTGCCTCCTGGACGGCCCGGGGCCGGATCCAGGGGTCTGTCCGGGCGTCTGTCCGGGGCCGGCCCCGCTCTGCCCAGCTGCCCCGCCTGGCTGCGTCTGGTCCATCTGCCCGGTCCATCTGCATCGTCCTCCATTCCTCCCTCCCCAAGCCGAGCACCCCCCCAGACTGATGGGGCGCCCACTGCGCGGGCGGGCGCGGAGGCGGGGGTTGGCCCCGTGTCACACTCTCCTTCCCCACCAGCTCCCGAGAGCAGAAAGAGGTACAGTGACATCTTCCGGAGCCTGGACAACCTCGAGATCTCCCTGGGGAACGTGTGAGTCTGAGCTGGGGTCCAGCAGACCTAAATCCCAAGCCGTGTGGGTGCCCTGAAGCCCCTGCAACGCCCCGCACCTTCCCTGACACCCTGAGCAGTCTGAGCTGGGACTGCAGGAGGGCCGGGGCTGCCAGGTGCTTGGGGGTACAGGGAGAAGACCCCACCAAGCCTGCTTGTGACCCTTTAAATGGCTGCCGTCCTTACTCCACGAACGCCAAAGTTATCTAGTCTCCCTCAAACCTTTTTACCAGGTTCTATTAGGAAACCTCACCTGGAAGGTTGCTCAAGGCTCACGCCTGTCATCCCAGCTGCTCAGGAGGCTGAGACCAGAGGATCGAGGGTCGAAGGCAGCCCAGGCAGGAAAGGCCCTGAGAGTCTTTTTTTTTTTTTGGGTCTGTCGTGGGTCTTGAACTCTGGGCCTGGGCGCTGTCCCTCAGCTCTTCAACTCAATGAGGCGAGCGCTCTACCACTTGAGCCACAGCACCACTTCCGGTTTTCTGGTGGTTTATTGGAGATAAGAGTCTCACGGACTTTTCCTGCCCAGGTTGGCTTTGAACCATGATCTTCAGATCTCAGCCTCCTGAGTAGCTAGAATGACAGGCGTGAGCCACTGGTGCCCAGCTGTCCCTGAGACTCTTATCTCCAGTAAACCACCAAAAAAAAAAAACCAGCTGTACAGCCATGGCTCAACTGGTAGAGTGTCAGCTTTGAGGGAAAAGCTCAAGGACAGCACCCAGGCCTTGAATTCAAGCCCTGGACCTGCACGTGCAGGTGCACACACACACAAAGCACGCTAACCTGTGTGGAAGTGTAGCTGAGTGGTAGAGCATTTGCCTCACGCGTTTAGGGCTCTGTATTCACGCCTCCTGTCCCTCCCTTCAAAATCCAGCTCCCGCCGCCCCGTGCACCGAATCCTCAGGTGTTCCACACACAAGAGATGCCCAGAGGTGACATCCAACACTGTCCCCTGAACATGCTGGGGTCCCCAGAGCCTCTCTCCCCCTAATAGGGCACATTGGTCAGAGGTGACCAGTCTGACACCTTTGTCCCCAGAACCTTTGAGATGCTGGGTGGAGATGCTGTCCTCCCGGAAAACATGGAGCCTGCCAAGATTGCCACGGCTGCTGAGGTGGGTCGGGTGGGGGGGATAGGGAGGAGGGACCCCCGGGGAAGGGGAGCCCTGGCCTGCTTGCTCCTGAATGCGGTTTCTCCCCTGCCCCCAGACCAGTGAATCCAGCTGTAAGAGCAGCTCCTCCTGGGACAGTCCTGTACCCCTCACAGGTAGGGTTTTTGTTTTGTTTTGTTTTGTTTTTTGGCCGGTTGTGGGTCTTGAATTCTGGGCCTGGGCGCTGCCTCTCAGCTCTTCAGCGCCACTGGAGCCACAGCGCCACTTCCGGTCTTCTGGTGGTTCACTGGAGTTAAATCTCATGGAGTTTCTTCCTTGGGCCAGCTTTGAACCGTGATCCTCAGATCTCAGCCTCCTGAGTAGCTAGGATGCCCAGCTGGTAGAGGAGTTTTGAGGGGAGGATGGGGGGGGGGGTCCTGTGCCAGGCACTGTACAGATCCAGGGAACATGACGGCGCAGTGGGTAGAGCGCAGCGGGTAGGCTGTGTAGCACAGCCGTGGAGAGTGTTATTGACGGGTGCTTCCTGGAGCCATGGGGGTCACAGCAGGGGCTCCTGGACAGGTCTAGAGCTCAGAGTTCAGAGGTGCCCCTGATTCTCCCAGGAGAGGAACTGGACCTGAGACTCATCCGGACCAAGGGGGGTGTTGATGCCGCCCTGGACTATGCCAAGACCTGGAGCCGCTACGCCAAGGAGCTGCTGGCCTGGACGGAGAAGAGAGCCAGCTACGGTGAGCACTCCTCCCGCTCCGCCCCCCGCACCACGCTCACCCAAACCCCACTGGGCCCCAGACTCCCATTGTCTCCTTCTCTAGAACTGGAGTTTGCCAAAAGCATCATGAAGATCGGGGAAGCTGGCAAAGTATCCATCCGCCAGCAGGTAGCAGTAACCAGACCTACCCAGGCCTCAGTCCCCCAGTCCCCAACCCCGCCCCCCTCCCCATCTTCAGAGTATCTCATTATCCATCTGCCAGAGCCACATGCCGCTGCAGTACATCTACACCCTGTTTCTGGAACATGACCTTAACCTGGGAGCCCTGGCCCTGGAGACCCTGGCCCAGCAGAAAAGAGATTACTACCAGGTGAGGGGGCAGGACATGCGGGACACTAGAGGACCAATCCCTTTGCTCCTTATAACGGAGCCGGAAGTCACTGCTTCCGCCATCTACCTTTCTCTGATACGGAAGCTGAAGCCGATATGCTTGGGAACTTGCCCAAGGTTACCAGGCTGAGATTCAACCCGGGCTTCCTGTGCAATTGCAAAACAGTGCAATTTGTGTGTGAGGAGCGGTGAGATTGCGGTGTCCTCAGGAAAAAAACCATGGGGCATCTGAGTGATCACTGAAGCTCAGTTCTGCGCCTGGATATTGGTGTGGGGGGAGACAGGCACCAGTGGCTCATGCCTGTCATACTAGCTACTCAGGAGGCTGAGGTCTGAGAATTGAGGTTCAAAGCCAGCCTGGATGGGAATGTTCATGAGACTTTTGTTTGTTTGTTTTTTGGTTGTGGGACTTGAACTGTGGGCCTGGGTGCTGTCCCTCAGCTCTTCAGCTGAAGTCTAGTTCTCTACCATTTGAGCCACAGCACCACTTCCGTTTCTGGTGGTTAATTGGAGAAGAGTGTCCATGGCCTTTCCTGTCTGGGCTGGCTTTGAACCTCGATCCTCAGATCTCAGCCTCCTGAGTAGCTAGGATGACAGGTGTGAGACACCCGCACCTGGCTCCATGAGACTTATTTCCAATGAAGCCCCAGAAAAGCCAGAAGTGGAGTGGTGGCTCAACTAGCAGAGCACCAGCCTTAGTGCCGCAGGCCCTGAGTTCAAACCCCATGCATGCATATACCAAGGCCGGGGATTCAATTCCCGGCACTGAAAAAAGAGAACAGGGTCTAGCAGGGGAAAGGCACATGGGCACCAGGACTTGATCAGACCGATGGAGTGGACCTGAGGTGCCCTGACCACCTCATCCCCTCCCTCTCCCTTCCTCCCTCCCTTCCTCCCTCCCAGCCCCTGGCCGCCAAACGCACAGAGATTGAGAAATGGCGGAAGGAGTTCAAGGAGCAGTGGATGAGGGAGCAGAAGCGGATGGTGAGGCCCAGGGCGGGGGTGGGGCCGCGGGGTGTCCGCGGGGGGGGGGGGGCGCTGACCTCCACCCGCCCTCCCCTCCCGCAGAACGAGGCTGTGCAGGCGCTGCGCCGGGCCCAGCTCCAGTACGTGCAGCGCAGCGAGGAGCTGTGGGCGCGCTCGCTGGGCTCCCCGGAGGACCCGGGGCCCCAGGCCTCGCCCGCGCCCAGCAAGCAGCAGGAGCGGCGGCGGCGCTCCCGAGAGGAGGCCCAGGCCAAGGTGGGGACCCGGCCGCCCTCCCCTCCCGGGCGTGGGGCGCCGCCTCCCTCCGCCGCCCTCCACACGCGCCCCGCCGCCTCGGTTTCCCCAGGCGCAGGAGGCCGAGGCGCTGTACCAGGCCTGCGTCCGCGCGGCCAACGCCCGGCAGCAGGACCTGGAGACCGCCAAGCAGCGGATCGTGTCGCACGTGCGCAAGCTGGTGCTGCAGGGGGACGAAGTGCTGAGGCGGGTGAGTCGCCCTCCCTCTTCACGGCGCCCCCGCGGGGTGCCCCCGCCCCCCCCCCCCCCCCTGGGTCGCCGGAACTCGGCACAGTCTGCCGCCCCTCCGCCATTCACTACCCGGTCCGCACATGTGGAAGGCCACGCCTCCGCGCGCTGACCAATAGGGTTAAGCTCTACCCCTGGCACCCCATGGCACGTGGCTCCTCCCCCAGAGCACTGGGCCACACCCCCAGTCACTGGCCAATTAGGACAAGCTCCACTCCCAGGATGCTGAGCTCCGCCCCCTATCATTGACCAATAGGGGCAAAGCTCCACCCTGGCTGTGGATACCAGGTCATGCCTCCACACACTGATCTGGGCCTGGCTCTTCCCCCACAAGACTGGGCCCCTCCCCATGTCTTAAGGTGACCAATAAGAGCCTGGATCCCCCTCCCGCTCTTGCTCCGCCCCCGGAGCGCCAGGCCCGGCCCCCTCCTTGACGCCTGTCTCTGGGGCCAGGTGACGCTGGGCCTGTTCAGGCTGCGCGGGGCGCAGGCGGAGCACGGGCCCCGCGCCTTCTCCGCCCTGGCCGAGTGCTGCGCGCCCTTCCAGCCCGGCCAGCGCTACCAGGAGTTCGTGCAGGCGCTGCGGCCGGAGACCCCCGCGCCCCCGCCGCCGCCCTTCTCCTTCGAGGAGTTCTCGCCGCCCGTGTCCAGGTGGGGCCTCCCTCTGCTCGCTGGGGTCGGGGCGCAGGGCTGGGCTCCAGGCCGAGCCCTCACCCTGCGGGGAGGCCGGTCCCGGGTCCTGGGAGGGTCAGGGCCTCTCCAGTCCCAGAGCCTGGACACCCCGGGCCGCAGAGCTGCGCTGCGCCCGGGTTCTGTCCCGGGTTCTGTCCCCGCAGTCCCGTTTCCCGGGGTGCAGCCCTCTCCTCTCTCCTGCCAGCGCCCCTGCGGACGTGAGGAAGAAGCCCTCCGGGCCCCCACCCCCGAGGCTGGACGAGTGTTGTGGGGAGCCAGGCCCGTGGGAGGACGCAGGCGCGGGCTGCCGGGGTAAGCGCGGCCCGGCCCCGGGAGCGGCTGGCGCGGGCTGCGGACGGTCCTCACCGACCTGTCCCCACCCAGGGACGCCCGGCCCCGCGCCCGGCGGGGATGCGGACAGCCTCGGGGGCAGCAGCGAGTCTCGATCCCTGGACTCTCCCACGTCCAGCCCAGGTGAGGAGAGGCCACGCACTGGCCTTCCATCGAACGTGCCCTCTGACCTCTGACCTTGCCTCTGCCTATCCGCCTATTCCCTCTACCTCTGACCCTTGAATGGGATTTCTGATCTCTCCCTAAGGGGGCGGGGGGGGGTCCCCAGGGTGATCCTACAATCCCTCGTGACCCTGTGACCCCAGGCTCTGGCGCACGGCGGCTGATGAAGGCCGCGTCCACGGGCACCGAGTCCTCGGATGACTTTGAGGAGCGTGATCCCGGTGAGACGGGAGGGGTGCGGGCCTGGGGCTGGGGGGGGGGGGGGTGCGGGCCTGGGGCCGGGGGGAGGGGTGCGGGCCGGGGGGGGGTGCGGGCCTGGGGCGGGGGGGGGGGGTTGCGGGCCTGGGGCCGGGGGGGGGGGGGGGGTTGCGGGCCTGGGGCCGGGGGGGGGGGTGCGGGCCTGGGGCCGGGGGGGGGGGCCGGGAGGGGGGGGCAGGAGAGACCAGGCTCCTGACTCGGCTTCCCTTCAGATCTGGGAGATGGGCCGGAGAACGGGCTGAGCAGCCCCTTCAGGAAGGGGTCGCTGTCCCCCGCGGCGCAGACCCACCGGCTCCGCCGGCTGCGGGGCCCTGCCAAGTGCCGAGAGTGCGACGCCTTCATGGTCAGCGGGGCCGAGTGCGAGGAGGTGCGGCCCCGCCGACCCCGCCCAGGACCCCCCAGCCTGAGACCTCCCCCTCCCGCTCCCCCCAGGACCCCCCCCCCACAGCATCCTCTCTCTGAGGCCGCCCCGGTCTTGAGGCTTCGGACACCCTTTTCTGACCCCACTGACCCCAGTGACCTCTTGACCCTGTGCCCTTGACCTCCAGTGCTTCCTGACCTGTCACAAGCGCTGTCTGGAGACTCTGCTGATCCTGTGCGGGCACCGGCGGCTCCCGGGGCGGACGGCCCTGTTTGGGGTGGACTTCGTGCAGCTCCCCCGGGACTTCCCCGAGGAGGTGCCCTTTGTGATCTCCAAGTGCACGGCGGAGATCGAGCACCGCGCCCTGAGTGTGCAGGTAGTGCCTCTGCCGTGGCCACCCCGTCCCCGCCCCGTCCCCGCCCACGTCACCACCCGGGGGTCCCCCCTCTCCACCTGTCCCCCAGGGCATCTACCGGGTCAGCGGATCCCGGGTCCGTGTGGAGCGGCTGTGTCAGGCCTTTGAGAATGGCCGAGCCCTGGTAGAACTTTCTGGAAACTCACCTCATGACATCACAAGTGTCCTCAAGAGGTTCCTCCAGGAGGTGAGTGCTCAGGGGAGATAGTAGCGGGCGGACTCGGGCTGGGGCCCCCCCGAGGGCCTTGCTCTCACACTGTGCCCCCTCGTCCCAGCTCACCGACCCCGTGGTCCCCTTCCACTTGTACAACTCCTTCATGTCTGTGGCTAAGACCCTGCGCACGGACCCCGGGGGCGCCCCCAGCCCCAGCCCTGAGCTGATCCACGAGCTCAAGAGCCTCCTGGTGCAGCTGCCCAACTCCAACTACAACACCCTACGCCACCTGGTGGCGCACCTGTTCAGGTGTGGGCTGACCCTTCCCTGGTCACGTGACCATGCACTGTTTTCCCCCCCCCCACCTTTGACCTGTTCCCTGGGTTCTGACACCTGATCTCAGGCTCTGGATGGGAATCTCCAGGGGTGACAGGTGGCCTGGCAGCCCTGCAGGCTCTGCCCTTCCCTTGTCCAGCGGCCTCCACCCTCTGCTCACCCTCGTCCACCTGTCCTCAGGGTGGCCACACAGTTTGAGGAAAACAAGATGTCTGCCAACAACCTGGGCATTGTGTTTGGCCCAACGCTGCTGCGGCCACCAGATGCCCCCAAAGCCCCGGGCGCCAGCTCCGTTGCCTGCCTGCTGGACTCCACACACCAGGCCCAGCTGGTGGAGTTCCTCATCACCAACTATGAGCAGATCTTCGGGATGGACGAGCTGCCCCTGATCACCGAGCCACTGCCCCAGGACCCCAGCCCCGCCCTGGAACCCCCCACGACCACCCCCCAGCCTCGGCCCCCAGCCACAGCCTCTGAAGCCAGCCCAGACCCCACGCCGCACGGTGCTCTGGAGGCGGCCATGCACCCCCAGGTAGGAGCCTGCTGGACCCATGGGTGCGGATAGTGCCTTAACTAGTTCAATGCTCTGGCTGTCTCTGTCTCTCTCTCTCCTGTGTGTGTGTGATTGCTGGTACACTTTTTAGCTCGAGGCTAGCGCTGTACCACTCAAGCCACAGCTTCACTTCCAGTTTTTGATGGTTTGTTGGGAATAAGCATCTCATAGAAGCCTGGCACCCATGGCTCCCACCTGTCATCCTAACCACTCAGGAGGCTGAGATCTGAGGATCGCAGTTCAAAGCCAGCCTGGGCAAGAAAGTCCGTGAGATTCTTATCTCCAATGAACCACCAGAAAACCAGAAGTGGCTCAAGTGGTAGAGTGCTAGCCTTGAGCTGAAGAGCTGAGGGACAGCGCCCAGGCCCAGAGTTCAAACTCCATGACTGACCAAAAAAACAAAGCGTGGAGTGGTGAAGTGGCACTCACAGTCCAAAGGAACTCATTGCTCATCAGCCGGAACCCACGTGTGAACCAAGAAGATGAACTGGGGTCTCAGCCTGAGCCCTGACCCCCCTGACCTTTCTTGCTCACAGCTGGCGCTCTTCCACTTGAGCCACAGCTGGTTTTCTAGTGGTTTATTGGAAATAAGAGCTTCATGGACTTTCTTGCCTGGGCTGGTTTTGGGTCCAGTCGTGGGGCCTGAACTCTGGGCCTGGGCGCTGTCCGTCAGCTCTTGAGCTCAAGACTATCGCTCTACCACTTGAGCCAAAGCACCACTTCCAGCTTTTTTTCTTTTTGCTTATGTGGTGCTGAGGAATCGAACCCAGGGCCTCAGGCTTGCAAGGCAAGTGCTGTACCACTGAGCCACCTTCCCAGCCCTTGCCTGGGCTGGTTTTGAACAGCAATTCTCAGATCTCAGCCTCCTGAGCAGCTTGGATGACAGGTGTGAGCCACCAGCACCCGGCTCAAAGGACTTCCTGTAGCTTTCCCAAGAGTCTCAAGGAATCTGGGGGGTCACATTTTTGGGGTTCTCCCTGCAGAACCCAACTCTGCAGAATGACCTAAGAGAGGAGGAAGGTGAAGACACCCAAGATGAAGGAGGAGAAGGTGCGTATGTTGGGGACTAACTCGGGCATTGGGGGGGTCCCCTGCCCGGGGGAGGGTGGTATGTGGAGAACTTGGGATGCCCAGCTCTGCCCAGCACTGACCCCTCCCCACACACAGTGTCCAGCCCAGGCTCTGAGGACCCCGTCCTGGGGACGCAGCCCCGCGGCCATTTCAGCCGGCAGCCGGTGAAGTACCCGCGGGGGGCCATGCACCCTGTCACTCAGCAGCTGTCCAGTTTGGCCCTGGTGGCCTCCACGCTGCCTGAGGACAGCTCTCCAGGGAGTTCGAAGGGAGGGGGTCCTGGCCCTGCTGCAGCTGCCCCCGAGGGGACCCCCCTGCGCCGCACCCCACTGCCCAAGCACTTCGAGATCACGCAGGAGACAGCCCGGCTCCTCTCCAAGCTGGACAGCGAGGCTGTGTCCCTGGCCCCTGGAGGCCCCAACGCCCCAGCTCTGGAGGAGGAGGACCGCTTCTGACCCCACCCCCAGCTCCTGGCTCGACCCGACGTCCGAAGGGCCCAAGGCCCCAGACACTCAGGGGAGATGTCCCAGGATCCCCCCTACCGGACACTATGGTCTCAAGTGTCTGGACCACTCGGGTCGGAGGTCACTCAGGGTCAATACAGGTCACGACGCAGGGGTCCACCCAGTCTCTGACCTCTGGAACTTTAGTGCTGCTTTGACTGCGACCCCAACCCCACCCCCGACTCCACACCCTGGCGGTGCCTGGGGTCCTGTGACCTCTGAATAAACGTTTTCTAGTATCTTCTTGCCCATCTGTTTCTCCCAAGAGAGGGCCCCGAAGGAGGCCGCCCCAGGACCTGACCCATCGCCCCACTTGACCAACCAGGAGAGGCCGAGGCCCGGGTCCCATGGCTCGGACCTGTGATCGGTCCCCTCCGGGACCCCAGAGCCCCGCCCGCCGACCCAGGCCAAAAGTTCAGGACCCCAGCTCCACCACGGGCGGCCGGTGACTCACTGTCCACCGGAGGCGGCCTGGCCTGGCCCGGGGAGCCCAGCCGCCCGCGGCCCTGACGAAAACCTAGATCCTATCTCAGGAAAAGGCCCGGGGCGGTGAACCGGGTTCGAGGCCCACCGAGCAGACTCGGAGGAGCGGAGGGCCCGGCCGAGGGTCACGCAGCCCCCCTCCCCGAGCTCAGTCGGGGCCCAGCCAGGCGCCGATAACCGAGACAATGGGGCTGTGTGCTCCCCGCGGGGCCCAGCACGCCCCGGGCCCGGAGGCGGGGCGAGGGCGGGCAGGAGGCGGGGCCCAGCACGCCCCGGGCCGGGAGGCGGGGCGGGGGCGGGCAGGAGGCGGGGCCCAGCACGCCCCGGGGGCGGGGCAGGGTGGAGGCTGTGCCAGGGACGCGGGGGCGGGGCCCAGCACGCCCCGGGGGCGGGGCAGGGTGGAGGCGGGGCGGGGGCGGGCAGGAGGCGGGGCCCAGCACGCCCCGGGCCTGGAGGCGGGGCGGGCAGGAGGCGGGGCCCAGCACGCCCCGGGCCGGGAGGCGGGGCGGGGGCGGGCAGGAGGCGGGGCCCAGCACGCCCCGGGCCGGGAGGCGGGGCGGGGGCGGGCAGGAGGCGGGGCCCAGCACGCCCCGGGGGCGGGGCAGGGTGGAGGCTGTGCCGGGGAGGCAGGGGCGGGGCCCAGCACGCCCCGGGGGCGGGGCAGGGTGGAGGCGGGGCGGGCAGGAGGCGGGGCCCAGCACGCCCCGGGCCTGGAGGCGGGGCGGGGGCGGGCAGGAGGCGGGGCCCAGCACGCCCCGGGGGCGGGGCGGGGCGGGGCCCAGCACGCCGGGGGCGGGGCCAGAAGCCACGGGGCTGGCAGTAAGGGCGGGGCCCAGCACGCCAGGGGGTGGGGCGGGGCACGGGGGCGGGGCCCAGCACGCCAGGGGGTGGGGCGGGGCGCGGGGGCGGGGCCCAGCACGCCAGGGGCCCGGGGGCGGGGCCGCGGGGAAGGGAGGCGGGGTGGGGCCGCGGGGGCGGGAGGCGGGGCGGGGCCGCGGCTCTCGGCTCGGCGGCGGATTGGACCCTAAGGTGGGGGCGGGGCCAGAGCGGAGGGGGCGGGACACCGAGCTCGCCCCGCTCCGCGCGTGTGCTTTGGCCATGTGGGGGGGTGGGAGGGAGACCGGGGGCACTCAGTCTCCCCAAGTTTGGAAATTGCAGGCATGGGAGGCCCACAGAGATTGGGGTAGGGGCTCCTGCGCCGGAAGTGAAAAGGGTGACGGGAGGGACGGAGGAAATGGGAAACGTGGGGAGCTGTGGTTCCGGGAGACCCCACTTCCGAAGGCCGGCCTGGGCGGGACTTCCCCAGGTGTCGGGGGCGGGGCTACGCGGCTTCTATGAGGGGGCGGGGCCTCCCCTGTCGCGGTAGGCGTGGCCAGGGTGGGTTATCCCAGCGGGCGGGGTCGTGCCGGTGCTGTGGGCGTGGCCAATCTGTGGGCATGGTTGGTGGGGGCGTGGCTCCAGATCCCGCCTCTCCCGCTTCCCGGGCCGCGGGCTCTCCACTCCCGGACGCCGCTGGCTTCCCGCCGGGCTCGGCCGCACAGGGCCATGGGTCGCCGGCCCGCCGCGAGGCATCGAGAGCCCGGCCCGAGTGCGGCCTGACCAGGTAAGGCCTGCCCGGGCACGGAGGGCGGGTGCGGGTGCCGGGGCGGGCGAGCCCCTCCCCCAGCCGGGGCGCGCGGAGGCCCCGCCGCCTCCGGACCCGCACCGGCTTTGTCCCGGAGACCGCCGGGTCCCGCGCACAGCCGCCCCGCGCGCCGCCTGCGCCGGGAGCTCGCGCCCAAACCCTGCCGCCGGCTTTCGGGGCGGCCCCTGCCCGCTCTGAGTCACCCCGGCGCCGGGTGCGCGCGGGGCTCAGCCCGGGCCCGCCCCGGCCTCGGCGGCTCGCTGTGCCCGGCGCCCGGGTTCCCCGGGTCCCCGATCTCCCGGCCCCCGCCCATCTCCCGGGTCCCTGGTCCCTCTATCCTCCGGTCCTCCGGCGCCCCGGGGGCCCCAGCCGCCCCGCCGCTCTCGCCCCTTTGTCCGGCCCCGCTCCCCGTTCCCCCGCCGACCTGGCCCCGGCCCCCGCGCGAGGCCCGCGGGTCGGACTGGGCCGTCGAGGAGCCAACACAAAGCACCGCGTCTCGGGATCGCTCATCAAAGGGTTCATTACCGAAAAGCGCGGGCCCCTCCCGCCCAGGTCCCCCGCGGGGCGCCGCCCCCCTCACCTCGCTGTGTCCGTCCGTCCCTCTGTCCGTCTGTCTCCCCTCAGATGGTCACTATGGGCCACTGCTACTACAACGAGACCATCGGCTTCTTCTACAACAACAGCGGCAAGGAGCTCAGCGCGCACTGGCGGCCCAAGGACGCGGTGGTGGTGGCGCTGGGGCTGACGGTGAGCGCTCTGGTGCTGCTGACCAACCTGCTGGTCATCGCCGCCATCGCCTCCAACCGCCGCTTCCACCAGCCCATCTACTACCTGCTGGGCAACCTGGCGGCCGCCGACCTCTTCGCGGGGGTGGCCTACCTCTTCCTCATGTTCCACACGGGCCCGCGCACCGCCCGCCTGTCCCTCAGCGCCTGGTTCCTCAGGCAGGGCCTGCTGGACACCAGCCTGACGGCGTCGGTGGCCACGCTGCTGGCCATCGCCGTGGAGCGGCACCGCAGCGTGATGGCCGTGCAGCTGCACGGCCAGCTGCCCCGCGGCCGCGTGCTGGCGCTCATCGCGGGGGTGTGGGGGGCCGCCCTGGGCCTGGGCCTGCTGCCCGCCCACTTCTGGCACTGCCTCTGCGCCCTGGACCGCTGCTCCCGCATGGCGCCCCTGCTCAGCCGCTCCTATCTGGCTGTGTGGGCACTGTCCAGCCTGCTAGTCTTCCTGCTCATGGTGGCCGTCTACGCGCGCATCTTCTTCTACGTCAGGAGGCGGGTGCAGCGCATGGCCGAGCACGTGAGCTGCCACCCCCGCTACCGAGAGACCACGCTCAGCCTGGTCAAGACGGTGGTCATCATCCTGGGTGAGTGCCCCTGCCCTCCCCCACTTCCCCCTACCCCACCCCATGGACACTTTATCTGGGAGAGCAGGCTGGAAGGGTGGGGTGATCCGAGGAGCTGCCAGGGAAGGAGAAGCTCCGAGGCCGAGCCCGCATGGTCAGCCCGCAAGGCCTTGAAAGGCAGGTGCAGGCCCCGCTGACTCCTGTGCTTCATAGGAAGCCTTTCCCGACCCCCACTGGACTGGTGCTAAAAGGACTTGGGTGGACACACATCCTGCCTGCCGTCCCAAAACAGGGCTGACATTTTGTGCCGGTCCCGGGTCTTTTTTCTTTTTTGTCGGTGGTGGGGCTTGAACTCTGGGCCTGGGCGCTGGCCCTGAGCTTTTTCACGCAAGACCAGCACACCGCCACTTTGAGCCACAGCTCTGCCTCCCGCAGTTTTGGTGGTTCATTGGTATCAAAAGTCTCATGGAGGACTGGGAAGGTGGCTCAGTGGTAGAGCGCTTGCCTTGCATGCATGAGGCCCTGGGTTCGATTCCTCAGCACCACATAAGCAGAAAAGGCTGGAAGTGACGCTGTGGCTCAAGTGGTAGAGCGCTAGCCTTGAGCTGAAGAGCTGAGGGACAGCACCCAGGCCCAGAGTTCAGGCTCCACAATCGACAAAAGAAAAAGGCTCATGGACTTTCCTGCCTGGGCTGGCTTTGAACCGTCCTGCCTGGGCTGGCTTTGAACCGAGATCCTCCGAGCTCAGCCTCCTGAGCAGCTGGGATAGGAGGTGTGAGCTAAGGATTGGCTCAGTTGTCCTCAATGAGATTTCCACACAGAAGCTTCCAGGGCCCTGACCACCCTGAGCAGAGCGGCTGTGTGGAGTCCTGTCTTAGTCCCTGCCAAGCCAGCTCGGCCCACGCCCCACGCGGGGCCCGGCTCGGCTCAGCCCCGCCTCCGTCCCGCAGGGGCGTTCGTGGTCTGCTGGACGCCGGGCCAGGTGCTGCTGCTCCTAGACGGGCTGGACTGCAAGTCCTGCAACGTCCTGGCCCTGGAGAAGTACGTCCTCCTCCTGGCCGAGGCCAACTCGCTGGTGAACGCCGCCGTGTACTCCTGCCGCGATGCCGAGATGCGCCGCACCTTCCGCCGCCTCCTCTGCTGGGCGTGCGGGCGCCGGGCCGACCCCGGGGCCGCGCGCCCGTCACCCTCCGCCGGGCCGGGCGCGGGCGCGCGCATCGCGCTGCGGGAGAACGGCCACCTGCTGATAGACTCCACCCTGTAGCCCCGGCACTGCCTGGCGCGGGGCCTGGGCCTGGCGCGGGGCCTGGGCCGGGAGGAGAGGCCCACCGGCTCCCGCCTCTGTCCTTCCCTCAGCTCAGGTGTGAGGGGTTTGTAATGGATGGTTTTGTTTTTGTTTTGTGGGTCGTGGGCCTTGAACTCTGGGCCTGGGCGCTGTCCCTCAGCTCTTCAGCTCCAGGCCAGCGCTCTACCACCTGAGCCACAGCGCCACTTCGGGTTTTCTGGTGGTTCACTGGAGACCAGAGTTTCATGGACTTTCCTGCCCAGGCTGGCTTTGAACTGCGATCCTCAGATCTCAGCCTCCTGACGAGCTGGGATGACAGGCGTGAGCCAGAGGCACCCGGCGGCGCCGGCAGCTGTGGTGATGGTGGACAGTTTTGTACCGTGTTGAGTGACCTTCCCATGTCCAGCTTCCCGGCAGGGTGCAGTGGGCTCTGCTGGGCCACCGGCTCCATCTAACAGCAGAGTGAGGGGTGCTGGGGAGGCCTTCATTAGCACTGAGGGGC